AACAAGTTACTTGTCTTCATGTTTTGATTTTTTTTTTCACTTGTTCTTCAAATTATTTCATTCCTAATATATATGCAGGACGTTAATTTAATCAAAAGACAACATAAATACCAAAGAAGTTGCACATGTACAGTCGAAACATCGAGCAACTCTTTGTAGGTCCCTAAGGACCTTCTCACGAATCTAACGTCATCGGCACTGTCACTCATCGGAGGGTTAATTTGTTCTTATTTTTCATTACAGTCTTATCAATATCTTTTTCTATTTTTTTTTATAAAAAATATGTATGTTTTTTAAATTATGTTCCAATAATCGCTTTGCTTGCCATACTTTATTTATTATTTAATTGAATTTTTATTTATTCGCTAATTGATTTTCCAGTTTTGTATTATTACCTTCATTCTTTGCCTCAATTTCTTTGTTAAAAAAAAATCATTTCCGGTTCTAAATTTTTTGTTGTTCTAATTCCATTTACGTTAATGCAAAATTAAATTTCTATGCACATCTAGGAGTTTAAAATGAATTAATTTTTTCTGAGTCTTGCCTTGAAAGAACATTGCATTTTCTAAGGATTTCATTTTGTTCGTGTTAATTTTATTGCCTTTATTCTTTCCTTCAGCTTCTTTAAATTTTATACAAATTTTTTTCGACTTCTCAATTCCTAATCGTCCCAATTCCAACTAATTTCTCTACTTGAATGGGAAATTCAGCTCTATATCTTGGACTATAAAATTAATTAATTATTTCCAATCTACCAAATAGACTTTTTGCTTGTAAACTCTGTGAGATTAAAAACATTTCAAATTTATTCCGAATTCAATTTGTTTTAATTTAATAGGGTTTCAGTTGGTTTGACTATCTTTGGTACTTCTTTGAATTTTAAACAAATGATTTCGACTTCTTACTTAATGAGAATTAACTTTTCTTCAGCTTGAAAGTTAAAATGTATTAATTATTTTGAGTCTTGCAAAATTAATATGTATTGCTTCAAAATTTGTTTCAATTTAATTTAGCTCCGATTTGCTTATGTTTCAGCTGGGTTGTTTGTCTGCAATGTTTTCCTAAATTTCTTTGAGTTGTAAACAGAAAAATTCGCCTGTTTGATTTCTTGTTGTTCCAATTCTAATTTGTTCCACTTCCCATAGCTTGACCCAAATTCAAAATTTGTTTCCCTATTTCTTCGAATTTGAGGCGAAATAGTTCAGGCTTTATATTCGTTGTTTCGATTGCAATTCGTTCCGTTAAATAGTTTAATTAGAATTTTAGAATCACTTCTAGTCTCAGTTTGTTCCAATTACATTAAGTGCTAACATTATTTTATCTGTTCTTTAGAATCCAACATAAAAATGTTGCTACACGTCAACGTGCGAAGACGGCGCTGTCGGATGTACTCACATTACTTCCTTTCCACACTTTTTCTGCTATTGCACTCGGCTTCAGCTATAACAACAATAACTGAAGAGCAGGACTATTGTGACGTTGGAAGCTGTGAATGTATTGAAGACTTTGTGCTGTGTGACCTAAAAGATTGCAGTGCCGATATATTACACCTAAGCGGCTTTTTCAACACAACAGAGGAACTATTTTCCAATAACTGCGAAACAGAAGTACTAACAAAACACGGAATTCTTTTCTTTCCTACCGCGAAGGAAGGAGAATACTTAAAAAAGGTTTATCCCAAAAAATCAGAACTTACCATGAAGAATTGCCTGCAAACACCGACAACCTGGAGGCAAGCGAAACTGAGCTATAATGTGCTCGTGAAAATCGACAGGCACACAATGGGTTTTTCTAAATCGCATCACCAGTGGGACGTATTCGTTACAGCTGGCCCATCTAGAGGCTTTCTGCCAGTAAAACTTACGCTCGATTTGAACGAGCTCGAGTATTTAGAGGTAAAGCTCATCTGCACCGGTGCCGCTGATGTGGCCCTACCGGTAGACATTTTTCATGCATTGCACTCCGTGGAGAATCTCATACTTCATGTGAGCGATAAAGCTGGAGGCGCTGCTACTTGGCGCAACTTAACAGCAACACATTTTCACGACTTGCAGAAACTAAAGCATCTCGACTTGGCTGGCAACCGTATGCGCACGCTAGCGGTCGACCTTTTCACGCCACTGCCAAAGTTACGACACTTAAATTTATCTTTTAATGCGCTGCAGTCACTGCCCGCTGAGTTATTGGTGGCGCAGCAGGAGCTCATCACGCTGGACTTGAGCGGCAATGCGTTGGAGGCGCTGCCGCGTAACTTTTTCAAAAACACAAAGTGGCTACAAGAGCTGCACTTAGCCCACAATCGGCTGAGCGTACCTACGAATGTGATAGAAAATGTCGGTGGGCTTTTCAGCTTACGTCAACTTGACCTTAGTCACAATCGCTTTGAGGACCTGCTTGGCAGCGGTGAGTATGAAAATACCACGTTACTCACAGGTCCGCAATATCGCTTTGTATATTCGGACCGAGATATGACGATTAATCTCAGCCATAATCGCATAACGCGCTTCAGCTTTGATTGGGTGGAAAATGTTTACGACTGCAACTATCACTACGATCTCTCGCACAACAATATCACGCACGTGCCATTTTTAGCGGCAGCCACATTTAAGACGCCGGAAAATTGTCAAAGAAAATGGACGCTGGCCCACAATCCGCTGCAGTGCGATTGCCAAATGTCTTGGCTAGCGGTTAACACGCATAACTTTGAAGCCGACGACTGGCAATGCGCCGCGCCATCGCCTTTGCGCGCACGCCTACCAATAACACTCACGCGCGCTGAGCTTTGCAGCTGGACGCCCAATGTGTGCCCCAGCGAATGCACTTGCAACTACAATTTTACGGAACTTATAGTTAACTGTTCAGCCACGCAGCTGGTGGAAGTTCCACCGATTCCGCGTCCCGAACAGGTGGGTCTGCGTAGCACTAGTCTTTACTTGAACAATAATACAATATATCAACTGCCACGTAACACAATATTCGGTTATGCGAATGTGTCACGCCTTTACGTAGCACACAATCGGCTGATTACGATAACCCCGTCTCACTTGCCGACCAACTTAACTATTTTGGATCTACGCGGCAACCAATTGGAACATTTAAGTGATGACTTTCTACTAACCTATCTCAGTGAGAACGGTACTCTCAAGCAGTTATATCTCTCCAATAATCCCTGGTTGTGTGATTGCGCCGCGGAGCTGCTGTTGCGTGCCGTACGCATACAAAGTGCGCGCATACCGGACGCTTCCATGCTTATCTGCGCCAACTTGCCAAATGTCAGCCTGAAGAGCGTCGACCTCGCGCAGGTTTGTGCCTCAGTTGACATGCAGCTTAGTGCTCTTTTTATCGCATTACTCGCATTGGCGCTAATGGTAATTGTGCTCATCAGTGGCATTGCACTCTTCTACAAGTACAACTTGCAGGTCAAGATATGGCTGTATGCCCATCACATAGAGCTGTGCTCTATCGACGAACAGCCTGGGAATGAGATGAACAAAAAGTTTGATGCCTTCATTTCGTACGCACATCAGCAGGAAGACTACGTTAATCGTGTGCTGCTGCCGGGTCTCGAGCACGGTGTTCCCCCTTTTCGCATTTGTATACACGAACGCAATTGGTTGGTGGGCGCCTACATACCCGAGCAGATTGTGGAGTCGGTGGAGCAATCGCGTCGCACGATTATTGTTCTGTCGCAGCAATTCGTCGAATCGGATTGGGGTCGCATGGAATTTCGCATGGCGCACCAGTGTGCACTGAATGAAGAGCGTGCGCGTATAATCATCATCAAGTATGGTGAGCTCACAAATGTAGCGGCTCTGGATAAAGAGCTGCAAGCCTATTTGCACATGAATACATATCTAGAGTGGAATGATCCAAGATTTTGGCAGAAGTTACGTTACGCCATGCCGCATAAAAGCAGTGAGATGAAACGGGCTGGTATGCTGCAGTTGCCGAGCAGAGTGCGCTTCCACGAAGGCGAGCAGCTGCATTGGTTAAGGTAGCGGAGCTATGCAATTGCAGGGGAAGACTGAGGTAACGGTGATAATCCGTAAAGCACGGTTTGAAGGCTGTGGGCTATTTAAAGCCTTAATAAGGCAAATATTATTTTAATTTTTATTATCTATGTACTTTGAAGAATACTTTAAAGTTTATAAAACTTAGGGGCCAAGTGAAAACTTGTGAAGTACAAAATCCTTTTAATAAAGTTTTTTAAAGCACGAAGACTCTTATTTATCTATATAACCGCAGCTCTAACCGACAGTGCGACATCTAAGTAGCGCAAAAGCACGTGTTTCCAAATCCCTGAAAACTACAGATTTTTGATGAACTCAAGTCTGGCAGACTGTTAGAACCATCCACAGAGGTTACGTTTATCCCCCCATACACTCGCTAATAATATCTTATCTCTTAATATCATACATTTGCATTAAGGGCTTCAGTTCTGCCGGCAGTGGACCACACAATTGTTGTTCTATGTAGATATCTTGAAAATTGTAAGCGTGAAGATATTTAGACTTCCAGACAGGAACCGTGCAGTGTCATTTGAAGATTTCGCTGCCGTACTTGAAGCAATATCTCTGGACTTTTATTTGCCATGTCCATCGTCGGCAATTTTACCAAAAAAGTGATCTCCGACTGGGCAGTTTTGTATAATTTCGTGTTACTTTGGTCATCTAATGAAGCGGATGTCCAATCTTAATGATTGATAATAATGAGTTCCGTTCTGAGGTAAGTAAGGCAGACAGGAGCAATTCAGAATACTCGAAAGCACCTGACTGCAAACCATTTAATAGACTTGACGTCCTGATTTAGAGGTAAGGGTATGCTGCAGATCACATTTTGTACGAAAGCTATTCCTCATCACACGCTTTGATTTTCATAATAGAATCCCCAGCATTCAATGTATGCCTGTGGGCTGTGTGTTTCCCTTCATTCATTTGCACCAAATTTTATTAGTTATTTTCTTGTTTCTCTTCTTTCGCATACAAATATTAAAACCCCTTTTTTGCATTTATTTACATTTCATTTCATTCCAATATACTTCATTGAATTTCATTTCGTTCCATTCCATTATTTTTCAGTATGTTGCATTACATTTATTTCATTTTACTTCATTCCATTAAATAATAGTTCAGTGCTTTTTATTTTAGTTTCCTTAATTTCATTCCATTTAACTTCTCCTAATTTCTTTGCGTTTCATTCAATTTATTCCCCTCCACCTCATTCAAATTAATTTTGTTCCAATTCCCTTCGGTCCTGAGTCCATACTGTTCCAATTTCATTGGCTTCTTTTATTATAATTAACATATAAGTATAATTTGGATCAGATTTTCTGCCCTTAAGCAATTGCCTTTCATTCAATCTTAATGCGATTCCAACTTCACTCGGTTTAATTTTCATTATATTTTCGTGCTTCAAAAATTGGCTTCCAAGTTTTTTAAATAAGTCAAAACACTGCAAGTCATTCATTCAAAGTTTATTTTGTTCCAATGCCAGTTTGTTTCTCTAGCATTTTTCACTTTTTCTACTACAAGTGGTTATTGAGTGGTTTTCATTCAGTTTCAATTCCAACTACCCATTTTCAAATATTTTAAATTTTATGTTCCAGTACCAGTTTGTTCGACTCGTATTCCTCGCTTTCTGTGCCACTGCTGATTATCGAGTTAAAGAAATTTTAATATAATTTTAGCTCATTTCCATTTTGTTCCGATCCCATTTTGTTCCTCTACCGATTTTTTTTCATGGAGATAAAGTTTTTAACTTTTCCTCAAAATTAAAATTATTAAAAACACTGTGCTGGAAATTTTGTTCCGATACCGGTTTGTTCCGCTAGTATGTTATTCTTTCTTATGAAGTCATTATGCCATTAACCTGCGCATTTTTTATTTTGTTCATCATTATTCTTTCCCTTTATTTGCGGAATTTCTGTAATAAAATATCACTCCACTTTCCATCACTAAAAATTCAACAAATGTCATAAAAATCATAAGTTCACAAAACAATCTTGCAACATATCATTTTCCGCCGGCAAACATAAAATTCCATTTAATGTTGATTGTATTTTAGTGTTGCTGTTGGAGAAAAACTTGCCGCTAATTGCAAACTATTGGCCAAAATATCATAAAAATTGCCAGAAGCTCTCCGCTGGCATTACAATAATAATGATAGAAAATATTAGAAATTATGATATCTACTGTCATATTTACTTTTGGCAATTTTCGCTTCCTGCACCATGAAATATAAGAAAAATATATATCTGTGTAAGTATAGTATGTGTTTGTGTATGTAAGCCTACTGCAAAAGCTTGCATGCCGACAATGATTGCTAACAAATAAAAATGTTCGCCAAATCCTCGAATTTATAGATTCCTGCAATAGGCTTGTAATGGGCAGCCTAAAAGCACGCCCTGCTACTGCGAGGCGTAAAAGGTCCCACACATACACGCAAATGCACGCAAGCAATCGCATAAACAATAATCAAAAAATAGAATAAAGTGAAAGGCTAGTTGCAAAAGCGAAAGCGCCGCATAGTTGTTCAACCACTGGTATGTGCGGCAAGTTAGTTTACATGTGCTTGTGCGCCCCCATGTATGCAACATAAATGTCGTAATTGCGCGGGAGTGGTTAGTTGTAAGATAGGCAATTGTAAATAAGTAAGAAAGCAGTGGACTCGTTGTAGTTTTTACGTCGAGTTGTATGCCACTTAGATCTTCTTTGTTACGAGTAAGTTGTCGTACAGTGACTGAAAAAATTGTTCCAGAACCTAGGAGTGAAAGTATGCGATAAGCAAAGAAACAACCTGCCAGTTTCCTCTCAAACAAAATGGCAAAAAAGCTTTGCCTTTTACTATACACAATTTCATTCTGATTCACTACCATTTTGTTCCACTTCCAGCTTGTTCGCCTTTAAAATATTTTATAATTCTGCAAAATCCTTTCTCAGTTCCGTTTTTTTCAGTGCATTAATTTTATTTTGCTTCAACTACATTTTTGTTCTATTTCCATTTCGTTCCATACCAAATATTTTTCTATTTCGAAAAATGCTATAATTTGCTTAACACTTTTCACAACTTAATTACATTCTCATTTTGTTTCTATGCCACTTTGTTTCGCCGGAGCCAATATCCGTTAACTAAATTGTTTATGTTTAATTTCGCACTGTTTCAATTTATTTTTGCTCCTAGTTCTGCTTTAGTCTTCTGCGAAATTTCTTTGTTAAATTTGCGCTTCGTTTGAAACTAATATTTTTTTCCATTCGGGAAGCCGCTATGCCATTTTGTCAAAATGCAAAAACCTTTTTTATATTTTAATTCGCTCCTATTCCGTTTTGTTCCCATTTATTTTTTCTTAGCATGAATAAATTGATGTTATTTTACAAATTTCCGTCCCCTGGATTTCTTCTGTTTTTTTCGTAGTGCCTCAATTCCTTCTTTATCTTTCAATCCCATTTCGTTCCAATCAAATTAATATCATTTATGTTTGATCAATTTAATTATTTTGAAAGTAACCATATTTTTAAAATCGTATTTCCTATCCATACAAATACGTTCCAATTCCACGTTGTTCCAATTCTATTTCGGTTCTATGACCATTCCTTTTTTAAATACTTATAATATTTTAAATTTCCGTAATTTCCATTCTCATTCCATTCTCATTCCATTTCGTTTCTGTGCTTATTTAAATGCTGAAATTATATTTCTATACAACATTCGCGGCCACACATTGCCGTTTTGCTATTGTCGGCGCATTAGGCGTACTACATACATTCATAGCTTCTTCGGTGCCTCTCTGAAGGCTAATGAAAAAGTGATAAAAGTGTCGAGTGCATTATTGCCAAATAGCCTCGCGACAATAGCGAAGAAATCACACCAATAATAAACGTAGACGCACACTCACGTACCATATTAAGCGTATATGTAGTTAAACAAGTGCGCGTTTCCTAAAGGCATTCAATGTGTGCATTTATGTACGCATACCTTCAGATACATTCACTTATTCTCAACTACACAAATATTTTCTACTGCCGCCTACTGATTTTACGTGCCTAGTTTAACGTGGAAATACCGTGGAAATGTTGTTAGTTTTACTATTGTCACATGTAAGCATTGCTGTTGTTTTCGGTTTTGTTGCTGCTGTTTTCGCTAGTCATACATATGTACGCGTCCTTTCTGCCCTTTGCTATTATTTTGCACTTACTCTAACATGATCGTAAATATTTTTCTATGCTATTTTATTGATACTACGGCAGACAATGTTGCTCGCCACAGGCCCCAATTCTTCTACATGCACACTGGTACTTCCCCACTTTTTCGCTGCTTTCACTTCATTCTCCCGCCGCACTCAATATAAACGTATTTATTGCAATTATTTGTTGCTTCTGCTGCTTTGGTTCGTGCAGTTATTCAACCTGCGCTTCTTTGGGACATTTAACAGTTACAGCTGTTGGCAGTTTTATGAAGGCACTCGTGGGCTGGGGATATCCACATACTCATGAATTTCCGGCTATAACTATGGCAAGTCTACGTACGTTTATATATATGTACATATATGCATATATTTATATGTGTCTTTCTATGTCTTGTGTCCGAAATTTTTATTGTCCTTCCAATTTATTACAAAAACGTACGCGCAAGTGTTTGGCCTTCATAATTGCTTGCTTACTTGGCCAGTTGTTGCAGCGAATCTGCTTTTGTGTGCAATCTTTTGATACATATTTCTTGAATGTCCTTGTTCTTTTGCTTTTGCCACGCTTGTTTTGTTCGGCTGTCAAAAAGCAATAATCATCAATTCTGATTTTTTCTCTCTTGTATTGTGAAAATGATTTTTTCTACTTAAGCGCATTATGGGTTATGTCCTTTTTCACGATTTTATGGCATAGCTGAGTGCAATTGTGATTTTGTGCGGTTATTTGATTTCAATTTGATGAGTATTTATTGGCAGCGGGATTACTTACGCATATATTTATGTGTGTATAGGTTTAAGTACTCATACACCAACATAGTCCATTAAAATAACTATTCCATCCTAGAATTCCAGCATTTACAAAGCTATGATATTCGGAGCCCTTGA